CTGTGACTTGTTGATTTCGGAATACCTAATTCTCTTTCGATTTGCCTCGTTGACACGCGTGGATTAATAGCTATCATTCCCAATATGGCAAGTACTGTTGGATCCCTTTCTGGTACGTTAATATGACGTCTTTGTTGTTTTTGACGTTGATGTTGTCGTTGACGCAATACAAGTCTGGAAATCGTACAATGATTTGGATGTCATCTATGAGGAAATCGATTACGGTACAATACTGCTGCTTGTCGATAATTATTATGGCATTCTCCAAGTACCAGAATAATATCAATAATTTCGTTCAAAGTATAATCCGATATTTTGCGTACATTAAGTTACAAGATAAAGTAAGAGCCGATAGATTTATTATATCCTGGTTGATATTGGACTAAGACAAATTTACGCATTTACGGATCATTTTTTGCCATCAGCCATTATGGATCAATCCCGGATGGACAGATTAAGATAGAAAATGTTGCGTGAGTATGAAGTTCAGCGCTCGGAATCAGTCGCCCTTTTCGGGCAGATTTCTGAGAAGACGCCTATTCTCCCCCCACTACCACTCCAGACTCTACGCCCGAGCCGCCGATCGCGAGCGTAACGCTGAGCCTCAGGAACGTCCGTGACAAATACATTAGGCCCGTATCTTCCATGAAATTTTCAATTATTTAGCAAAACTTTTTTTGCTAAATAATTATTACATTTACAAATAATAACTTTTATATTTATGAATTTAACGTACAAAAATTTATTATTAAAATATTAAATTATGTAAAGTAACTACACAGTGATAATCATAGCACATACAACCATTTACTTATTACCATTTACTTATTACCATTAGGAACTCTATTTCTTATAATTCATAAAGAAATAAATAACATCATTTTTAGAAATATTGATATTTATTCCCTAAAGTTTAGATGGTATTTATTCTTTTTCACTGTTATAACTTAACTAGTACTTAACGAAAAGTAACTTAATTATAGTGTTTTGGAAAGCTCTCGAGATGAGCTGTAAGAATGTGCAATGAGAAATAAGGGGTTCCATTTAAAAAATTAAAGGTGACCTTCACGTGACCTTCAGAGGACTATCCAAAGTCAAATCGATGGCACCATCTTATGTCCCCCTTCGAGTCAAATAACTTTTGTCTGAAACATTTTTGTCTACTGGGTTTAGTTTTCGAGATATTTAGCTGGATTATTTAAAATGGGACACCCTGTATACACTGGAATGGGCATCTCCGCTGTGATGCATAGAAAATCGTGGCTGCAATTGATCAGCCGCCATTTTGATTTGATGTGGTATTTGAGCGAATCAGAAACTTTCAGGTGCTCATGCGCACTTACTTTTAATGTTCTTTAGTAAGACGCATATGGGACGGTGATCGTTGGTGATCGTCTACCGGCGTGATCGGATGTGTTATTGCGTCATCATTTTTGGAAAGTGTGACCGGCTTCAAACGCGCAATTGAGTTTGTTACTCTTTTAGACTTTCGTATTCTGCATATTCTCACGCGAAGAAGAAGTAAGATGCACATGTTAGCAAGATTATCGTGTGTGAGATTATATTTAAAGGATTATGAAATCGCGTGACTATCTACAAAGCATCAACATGAAGTGCTGTGTGCCTGGGTGTGGGCGGAGAAATAAAAAGGGCCTTTCATTTCATAGGTAAAAATAATTGAAGTGATATTATTATTGTTTATATACCATTCATGTCCATATAGATTTCCATACATTGATAGTACATCGATCGATACATCGATCGCAACGCGGGCGCAAACGCTTCTGATTCGTTCAAATACTACATCAAATCATAATCGGCGGCTGATCAATTGCGGCCACAAATTTTCCTCGATGCCCAGTGTTATATATTTCAGTGATTGCCAGTCAAAATAAGAGAGGAAGGGGGGATGAAAGAGATATTAAAAGAAATTAGGAAGGAAATGAGGAAAGGGTTAATTGGAGTGAAAAAAGAAATAAGAGAGATTGCTGAGGAGCAAAAGGAGATGATGAGAAAGGAAGTGGAGAGGATAAAGGAGAAGTTGAAGGAGAGGGAAGAAAGATGGAAGAGGGAAAAGGAGGAAATGATAGATAGGATTAAGGCATTAGAAAGGGAATTGAGTAAAGTGAAGGTAGGGACAGAAGAGTGGAAAGGGGTGGGAGTAGAAAAGAGAGGAGGGATGAGGTAGGAAAGGGAGAAGGGAATGAAATATGGATGGAAAGGATAAGAAGATTGGAGAGGAGGAGTGAATGGAGGGAGAGAGAGGAAAGGAAAAGAAATATCATTGTAAAAGGGTTAAATGTAGAAAGGGAAATAGAGGGGAAGATAGAAGAGTTAATAGGAAGTATAGAAGTTGGGGTGGGGGTAGAGAAGATAAGAAAGATAAAAGCGGGTAGGCAGGAGAAGGGGTGGATGGTGATGGTGATGTTGGGGAGTGTAGAGAATAAAGGAAAGATAATAAGGAATAAGTGGAAGCTGAAGGGAAGGGATATATGGATAGAGGAAGATTTGACTTGGAAAGAGAGGAAGATGAGGTGGATGATGAGACATGTGGTAATGAAAGAGGGGTGAAGAGCAAGAATGGGGAAGGGGGAGGTGTGGATTGAAGGAGAATAGTGGAAATGGGATGAAGAGAGGGAGGAGTTAAAGGATGTTAGGGGAACGAAATGGGGGGAGGGGGAAAAGAGTAAGGATGGAGAAAAGAATAAAGAGGAAGAAAAAACGAGGAAGGAGAAACAGGAGCAGGGAAAATAGCAAGAGGGATGGGTAAGAGGGATAAGGAAGTTAAGGGGAATAAAGATTGGGATAAGAGGGGAGAGGGTAAAGAGGGGGACAGGGAAGGGCAGAGGGAAATAGGGAGCAGAGGACTAAGGGAAAAATAGGAGGGAGAAAAGGGATGGGGAAGGGAAAGAAGTGAGGATAGCATTTTGGAATGTAGCAGGATTGAGAAATAAGGATTTTTGGGCTAGTTTGAGAAGATGGAATGCCATCGTATTAATGAAAACATGGGTGGAGGAGAAGGGATGGAAATATATAAGGGAGAGACTGCCGGATGGATACGTGTTGAAAATGCAGGCAGCATAAAAGAGGAATAAAAAAGGAAGGGCAATGGGGAGAATGGTGATGGGTATTAAAAGGGATTTTATGAGGGGAAGAGGGAGAAGAAAGAAGTATAGAGAGGATTATGATGGGTATAATGAGAGTAGGTAAGAATAGGGTAAGGATGGTGGGAGTGTATGTTAGCATGAATATATATAGAAAGGAAGTTCAAGAATATAGCGGAATGGATAGAGGGAAAAGAGAAGAGGGTGAACAGTGATAGGGCGGGATTTTAATGCGAGAACAGGGAGAGAGGAGGGAAGAATAAGGAAACAGAGTGAGGCTGAGGAGGAAGAGGAAAGAAGCTCAATGGACAGTAAGAAAAACAAGGTTGGAAACAGGTTAGTGGAATTTATAAGAGAGAAGGGATGGACAATATTAAATGGGAATGTGAAAGGGGATGAGAAAGGAAATTGGACATATACAGGGGGAAGGGGGGATTCAGTGATTGACTATGTATTGGTGGATGAGGAGACAAGAGAGGAGAGTATGGAAATTGGTGATGTAATTGATTCGGATTACCTTTGGTAGTATCACTGAAGGGAGGAAGAGATAGGAGAAAAGGAGAGGGAAAGGGAGGGAGAGGGGCAAGTAGAGAAGTATGGGATGAGGAGGGTAGGGAAATATTTAGAGATGTTAGGGAGAATGGAATGGAAGGAAGGGAATGGTAAGGAGAGTATGAAGGAAATGGAAGGGAGAATAAGGGAAGTATTGGGAAGCATAGAAAAGGAGAGAAATAAAGAAAGGAAAGGAAGGGGATGGTGGGATAGGGAATGTGGAGAAAAAAAGGTTAGGGTGAGAAGGGTATTAAGGGAGTAGAGAAAAGGTAAGGGGGGAGGAGGAGGAGTACAGGAAGGAAAAAGGAAGTTGTTACGTCCAAACCCTTGGTTATAAAAATCTAGCAGATAATAAGGAAGAATGGAGAGAGTATGGAAGGACGGTTTGACTCAGGCTCACAGGTATACGCACAGAGGCAAATAACTGTGAATCGCACGCACCTTTTCGGTCTCGGAATATGGGTCAACGTACAGAAGGGACTCTATGATACCTATTCCGATACAGTGCAAACGTCGGTCCTACTTTTTAGGTCATAGAACTTAATCCTTTTGACCCGGGACTGGACCTCGTGAGATCTCAGGTATTAAAGGGAATGGGATACGAGAGGGCGATTTAAGAATTAAATCAGACTTAGAGGAACCTTTGGTTGAGAATTACAAACTTATATTTATTCAATAAAATCTAAAAACTAATTTACATGACTGTAACGTCCACCTGACAACTCGCACATGGCGAACGTCACGATCGGCGACGCCAACACGTTACCATGACAACGCGAATCGTCGCGAAATTGCGGCACAATCGAGAACCGCGATCACGCGCTCATCGCGTGATCGAGCAACCGCCGCACCGAAACGCGCTGCGCTTGCGCGACAAGAATTATTTAATTGCACGAAAACTAAATTAATGCGGTAGCAGTAATGAAACTGCAGACAACAAAACTTGAAATCCAAGCAGTAGGAAACCTTGAGGTTCCTCGGATACCCTTGATCCAGCGTAAATAGATAAAAGAATAAAAATTGCATTTTATTTAAAATCTGCAGATGCATCCGCTAAAATAACGGCACCGTCTAATCAAAAATCTCGCACCGCGCTTATGATCAAGAATACTTGACGAAATCCTAGCTGCAAGAGCACTAAATCCTTCCAATCAGCGAAACAAAAATCGTTGTAGTTATCATTGACAAGAAAAAGAGCGAGCGCTCCATACTAACAACTCCGTTTAGAAAAACTAGTGATCGCAGCTCATTGCGAATAAGCGCGCACCGCAACTGCACGCTATGCAGTACAGGGGCGGAGCCCATAAGAGGGCCCTGTCAACACTCAGATATAAAAATTTCGACTTTTAAAATGACCAAATTAACAGAATCCGATAGAATGTTCTAGAATAATTTCAAAATCTAACATGACTGTTGACAAGTCATCTCCCTTTGCCGCTCAGCATCATCACCCCTTGCCATATTATATAAGCGACACCCGGTGCGAGCCCAGAGAGTTCGTGGAAATTTCCCGGAGAGTTTAGAAACCTTTCACTGAAATAGGAAGAAATTCGCGAAATTTTCTCCGACAGCTCGTTCTACGAATTTGAGCGCGCGCTACCCAGTAGGCAGAAGAAAAAAGGAAGAGAACACAAGTTGTGAAGGGTCCGCATTGAGACTCTATTTCATTGTGCGTGCATCGATGAACTCCTGGGGCCATGCTTAGTGGACGGGCATCGCCAATAATTAGCTGAGAAGTATCCCAGATCAAAGTGAGTTTTATGTCGCACTTCCGTCGTCGGTCGGTTTTTAGATCGAGGAAATTCGCGCTATCGCGACCGTCATTAGTGGATTGATAATCCCGCAAATTATTGCGTAATCTATTTATGTGAATCTATCGCGAACAAGCTATCTATGTGTAAAAGGGTAAAAAGTGGAGAGTAATGGATAATTGTAAAATATTTTTTTTTTATTAAAGTTACCAATTTCGTAGTAAATCTTTTGCTTATTATTTTAACTTCGTTTTTTTTTCTTTTCTTTTCTTTCCTTCTCTTTCGCAAACACTCTAGTCGGCGGGAAGTGCCTTCTTGTTAGTGTCCGGTCTGTGCCGTCCGCATATACGAATATTTCAATTATTCCGCAAATCCAGAGAGGGAAACGGGTGGCACCCAGTTGGACACGGCTCAATTGGACACGAGCCACTCACAGCGCTTGAGACTACAAAGCTCCTAAACACCGGTCGCTGTGATTGGTGGTGTCCAATCGAGACGTGGTCAGTCGGGATCACCCCGAGGGAAACCTCGCGCATCGAGGAACATTAAAACCGCGCCAGGCTTCCTTCACTCTGGGGCGACAGGTCCACACCACGGCGTCCCGGTAGTAGGGGTGACTTCCTAACCCCGTTTTGGTAGGCTCTTAATGCCGCCGAGGCGTCCTGACCATATCCGGTCTCGCCGGCTCCTCTCAGAGCCGCTGAGACCTCCTAAGGTTACCGCTTTGGCAGGCCCCTCTCACGGCCGCCGAGGCTTCCTAGCATCGGTCGTCGGTGGCTCACACCGAGCCCCGGCCGCCTTCCAAGCGGAGAGCAAGGGCTCACGACGAGCCCCCTACCGCTTAGCCTAAATCTCACTCCACTGTAGCTTACGAACTGTTATCTCCCATTCTTTTCTATTCCACCGTTTCCTTTTTTTTTGAGTCGCGCGGGCACTACAATATCGCCATCCCTTGTAGATGCCGAAGGCCCATCGCGCGGGGCGAGACCAGGCCTTGAAAAGGCTCCAGTACGAGTATCATTACCGCCTGGATTTCGACCCGCGGGAGTTTGTTGATCCTCGGGTAATTCAGAAGACGGGATATTATCACCCCGTCCCCGGCAACAGCCAGGATTCACCTCCGCCGCCCCCGTTACCCGCGAGGTCACAGCCGCATGTATTAGGTGTTAAACTTAATTCCTATCGTTCGCTACTAGAGGACTCTGCCTCCAACGCTGACGAGTTTCGACGATGAAGTCACATGTCTTTTGTAGTTTAGACATCGCTGAAAGTG